ATAAATCTCATACTCTTTGAACTATTACCATAAAAGTGAAGCATGGTATTGCTCATTTTGAAGGTCTCATGTTATTGCACAGAGTTGCAAACCCTTCTTATCAAAAGCCCATGGATTATCAAGTCTTTAGTTCAGTTTATCAGACCATCGTGTTACAAATCGTGATAATAGTTGCGATTGGATTATAATGAGCATGATCTGAAAGATTCTGAAAAATCACCGTTTTGCTTGTGAAAAACGACCATGATGTTACTCATATATTGACAATAGTATTGTTGGAAATGGGGCAATTTTCAAGAAAACAATATGTCCACTCCATCATAACATAAAAGGATTTTCGAGATAACCACCATTACTCACTCTATGAACTGATATTGTGCGAAACTGTGACAATCGTCACGCGTGAAAACGTCACGGTTATAGTATTGAACTCAAAGCAGTAATTAGCCATTTTTATAAATCCCCAGATGGATTGGTTTAATTTTATATGATGACCCATATTCCTAAAACACATGTTTAACAGTTATTCAGTAATAACACATAAATATCAACTCATAGACAAGGAAACGATAACAGCTAACGAATTTGCCCTTTGGTAAATGTGCTTTTTACATTTTATACGTCTTTACAATAATACGTAACATGCAAGCAAATGATAAGTTATTTGGGAATTCCATAAGCATAATTTATCGGAAAAGTCATAATAAAAAATGTTATATGAAGAATTAGAAAAGGGACCTTTCTGATTCATGATTGAATGACGTTAATGTCATTTGGAATGAACATGTATACAGACAATACAGTTATATGTAGTTGTCCTGCTGTTTGTGGTGCATGCAGGAAAGACTTCACTACGTCACCCTGCAGCTGGTCTACGTCCATAGTAAAAGTTTCTCAAATTATAAAAACAAATCAAAGTGTCTTACCTCATACTATAAGAGATTAAAAGGGAACTAGGGTGACTGGTTGCTTGACGACATGGTATTTGCACCATCGATGTAAAATGTAAAAATGCTGGTTTCTTGAATCAGTGAGGGGTTTTGGTGAAGTTGATTTAAAAAGATAAATAATGTGGTGTGCACATAGTTATTAAAATAGAAAAGATGTGTCAGTACATATAAACTATGATTGCATATGAGTCCACATATGTAACATGTACGTAACTGCTTTTTCCACAGAGATAGTGAAACACGGCACGTTTCTGCTATTTATGCTTTATGTCGAGTTTTGACGGAAAATTAAACATAAAGATGATATGAACGTGTAATAGAAGGAACATATTTGATAATAAAGTAATAATAACAATAATAGGCATATCAGATATATTTACTCCAATATTTTGTCCGTTAATCCATAAAATTGTCATTGATATGATTAAATTTCAATGTTACTAATTTTTTTGTGTTCCATAACCTAGCTTTTGAACTTCTGCACTTTCCAGATATACAGAGTGTCCCAAAATATCCCCCCTAGGCAGACATGAACCAATTTCTCCATAGTATGTGTCATATATCATTTTAAGCCATTTTTGCAAAATATGATGGTTCAAATGGTAAAAAGTAACAGGCATTTCAAAAATTAGCGTTTTTCCAAAAAGTTCATTTCAGTATACTGGAAACAGCCCTGACCTGAATGTGACAGAAAATGTGGATGCTATTCTGGAAGATAGGATGGATATTGAGTTCTAAAAAGATGACGTTTAGGGTAGATACTCCAAGGAAACTCTTCTTATGCCTTAAAAGTTTTATGAGGATTACAAAACGCCATATCCCTATTTGAAGTCTGTTTAAGGTCATATATGGAAAGTATTGCTGCTGTTAACATGGCGGCTAAGGAGACACATCGACTATTGTTTTGGTGTAAAACTGACTTTAATTTTGGCCAAACACTAACTTTTTAAATTCCTATAACTTTTTTTCCATTTGTGAGTTGAACCATGATACTCGACAAATTAATGTAACTTTGGATGAGCTTTAACATGATATATAACACATACTATGAGGACACTGGAATATGTCTGCCTAGGGGGCCCATACTTTCGGTACACCCTGTAGCATAAATTTTGAAAGTCATCTTGGATAAGCTACTATAGATTTCTTCATGAACACCTTAAGATTATTAAAATTCATAAACGTGCAACTAAACATAACGTAACGTACCGACGCCGAGTGGTCAAAGAGGTAGGAAGATAACACGCCATGGTCACATATTAATCACCATATTAATACTTTCATAAAATAAAATAGCATTCAACGAAAAAATCACTTTTACCTGTTTATCTGTACAGGAATACAGGAGCATGTTCGTTGAACATCACTTGTTACGCATAAAACCCTTAATGCATTTTAAAATTAAATCATTGCAATGTTTAATACTATATAACTCATGAAGATTCGCTTTCGTGGTGATACAATTTTTTTTTTTCGTGGAGTATCATCCATATCACAAGCTGACATGTGTAATAACTGATAATATCACAGATTATTATTTGGATTTGCTATAAATGCAATGTCTACACAAGCTTGTATTGGGCAATTTGGGCCAAGCACGTTGTTATATTTTGTTCTTTCTTCAATGGTTAGAGTTGGCGTCACATAACCACATCAATGTGATGTAAATTAAATATCACTGCTTTGTAATTATTTTAATACATTTTTATGTTTACAATAGAGGAGTTTCTAAATGATTTTGAAATCTCGCTAATTCTCGTTTTTTCATGAGATTTTAAGAGATTGGCACATTGTACCTCCAATGACTTACTTTTCTTTCTATTTAATAGCATATTTGAATTCAGTGATATGTTTCCTACAATAATAGCTTTGATTTACACATTTATGTCATTTAAATCATTCTCCTTGACATTTAAAAAAAACTTGGGCCAAATCTCCATTGATGTTATCACGCTGCCCATGTCAAGCTGCGCGCCTACTTAGGCGCGCAGTTTGTTTCGATCACAAACTGCGTGCCTAAGAACATTGCATCATTTAAGTTGGAGTCTGTATTTTGAAACGTAATTTAAAGACATTTATCATGCATTGTTTTCTTGTTCAATGCGTTCATTCTGTGGCGAATATACGAATCTTGCAAATACTAGCTAAAACTATGTGCAAATGAATCTAAGTTTTAAAACATAAGCAGATTAATGGCATTTTCGTCACTGATTTAACGGGAATTTATACGTAAATCGATCTAGCACTTTAAACATAAATGACAAATACTTTAGACTCGTTTTATATTTAATTCCATTTATCATGTATAATTCAAAATATTTCGAGATAAAACAGATAATCAGGAGATTAAAAAGAAATAAATCACAAACTGCGCGCCTATTTTAGCCAGAAATTACAAACTGTGCGCATACACTATTAAAACATATTATCATTGGAATTTCTACAGAGGCACGTGTAGGTGTTTTTCATGTAGCTATTTGGAAATTTTGCTTTATCGTCAGATTTTATGAGATTTTCATATTGAAAGTCAAAATGTATAATAGAAGTGACAATTAAGTTGGGAACGAAAAAAACTTTTATTTTCAGATCACCATCTTGGTGGATGGACTCTCATAGTGTTTCAATTCTGGGGTTCTGCTATTAGACACATATGTGCCTTGTATGGCGATTATGTTTTCTAATAATACAAAACAAGCTTGGATGGGCAAGCAGTTTGGAAATATTAGGCACGCAGTTTGGGAAATACATGTGAATATAGGCGCGCAGTTTGACAAGAAAATGTTTAAATCACGTTTATGGCGTATTATCGTTTTGAACACAAACTTTGCTGATTTAATCAGATGTAGTGATCCTATATATTCTTACACAGACACAATGGCTGAATAAACGGCAAATGACGATAAAAAGACATAGATTTTACACTTTAGACAACTTTACACTGTAAATTTTGAACACAGAAGTTACTTAAGACCCTTATATTGAGATAACTAGGTTTACATCGGGAAAAACATTGAGTACTATGAGTAAATTAAGTTCATCTTCACAGAATGGTACTATCTTTATAACGAGATTAACCTTGTATTTTTCGTATTTTGGCTCTTTTTGGGAGTCGTGTCCTCCCCGTCTCACATTTTGAAATATGCGCGCAGTTTGTCAGAGTTTCAAACTGCGTGCCTAGTAGGCACGCTGCTTGACTGGGCATCGTGGTTATGCTAAAATTCTTTAAAACCATGGTTTAATCGTATGACAACCAACATTTTCATGTTTAATCACAATATGTTCATTGACAGGGTCATTTAATGGTATGCCATTCAAATTTCAGACAGATTTAGCTAACACTCTTTGATAAATCATGACATTAAGTGACTATTGCAAGCTTTTAGCATAGAACTCAATGGAAGGTGGGCCCAAGATGAACAAAGGTGACATCTATTTTGTCAGCTTTATTCAGCTTTATTTAGCTATTTAGAAACTATACTATTTAGTAAATGCTAAAGATAATCCCATTCGTCTTGCTACATACATATTTAATTTAGATGATGGTAGTGAGGAAGTTATATTCTAATAATGTACTGTTAAATATAAACGTTGACGTCAGATTATCTGCAAATCATTGGCTGACATAGGACGAGTAATTAATAACCAATCGGATAGCGCAGTTTCATTTGTCAAAGATAAAACACTATATTGCAAATCATCCCCTCGAATATATAATACATATCAATATCAGGTTCATATAGTCAATCTGCTAACCAGAATCCAACACAGAGCGACCACTGAAGAAAAAAACATTGAAGAGTACAAAACTTGAATACAAAAATGATGGAATCGAGCATTCTTATTTTCGCGTGTTTAATTCCATTAGTTCAAATGGGAAAAGTTCAGATTTCCATCAATCTTTCCAATCATCAGCCGGGAAAAACGAAGTATTCAAAAACAACGAATGCAGAACAACTGGACAAGCCACTCAAATCTTTTAAAGTGCTAACGAACGAACGATGCGCAGCTACCTGCACAGCAACGTCAGAATGCGCCTCGTATAATCTGCGCATGGTAGACGACAAGATTTACAAAGCAGTTTGCGAATTGAATGGCCACAGTCCATCTACCCCGTCTCCTACATCTGAAAGAGTAGACTATTACCAAAAAGCAGGTAAGTATGATGATTATACTATTATTTCATAGCTGCTAATATACTAGTTGCCCAAGACAACACGTAGAATCAAGGTTCGTATGATTTTGCTTCCACCTCTCTGTATTTTTGTGTACAATTGTATTCCTCAATGCAATGCTACATGTATGTGTTGTGCATCTAGTGAACAATTCTAGCAAACATCTGTAAACATACTCGGACCCTTTCACCATTTTTCCCTTCTTATATTGGCAAATTAAGTTGATTTTTAAGACCATTAAGAGAATATTGATAGAACTCGAAGTGCTTCGTTGTTAGTTGGTTGCAATGCAAAATCGTACGCGTAACGCAACATACATATTTTAAAAATAAAGGTCAGAAGCCTCATTATCTGGTCAGTGCATATTAGAGTTGCGATTTAAATTGCGCTTGCGAATTGACTTTATTCGCAGGCGTAAATCGGTATTTGGGTGGTACTATGCGCTTCACGCTAAATGCAAGATTGCTAATCGCAACTAGAAGAACACAGATTAATATTGAAAGCTGGAAATTTAAACTAATAGCTTAAACGTATTTATGGAAAAACATTATCTCATGAATAGATTATTTTCAAATATTTTGTAATTAAATTGATGTCATATGGATTTTGAATTATCCATTAAACTAAAAAACGAAAAATGGAATCCATATTGTCAAAAATGTTTAGGATTGTATCATCAGTTTTTTAACCAAGAAATATTTTGTAACTTAAATAATGTTTTATTATGCTTAACAACTGACATGCACTTGTTTAATATACTGCTAAATAAGTTGCATTAAGAGAGAATCGTAGAGAATATTTTTTCCTGTATAATAGGCAGTTATTTCTTTTATTATAGCGGAAAAAATATAATACGTATTTTTAAGAATTATTTTTGATTTAATAATATTATTCGTGTATTATTTAAAGGGAACAACATATAATGCCATATAATATAGAATAATATTCCTGTCAGGAGCAAATAATATGTTGGCATTTGCAATCAAAAGCTGATTATACACTGTTATTTTCGAGCCGTTAATCCCTAATTATTCAATTCCTATAGAATGAATTTCATTCATACTGATAATTAATCCGTTTGTTACTGTCAATGGATTAATCTCTACAGCTGATGGCTCTAAATTCCACAAAAATAATTTGCAAAATAAGATTTTACATATATATTTGATAGTATAATGTCCCTCATGTTATGATTAACATTGTGTTAAATTTTTGATTCAATCAATTAATTAATTGTAAAGTTAATCTTTGAATTTTTAATTAATTGGTTTTCCTCACATTTTTATTCCATTGTTTCTCTGTCACATTAAGTTTATAGCAAACAACAATTAAATCGATTCCCTCTTCCAAAGGTACAAAGAACCACCTGTATTCACTTTGCCAACCGGAAAAAAACAGTCATGACATGGAACTGCTCAATATTCAATAAACACATTACGCATTTTATACAGAACTGTAACTAAGGACCCCCTCCCAGTGGCCAACAATTCTTTCAAAATCACCATTCTCGTATCATTTTTGCTGCATGATGGCTGCTGAAATGCAGAACATGAAAGAAATCAAAGTGAAACAAAAATTAAAAATGACCAGTGAGTTTCTCGTTAACAATCCAACAAACCAATTGCAATTCATCTTGATACTAATATCTTGCAAAATAATGTCTTAAAGGGTGACGCATATCGTTTAGCAAATCGAACGCTCGTTTCTGGTGTTGCACACCGTTTAGTATAAAAGGCCCGATCCCGGAATAATACTCAAGGGTTCACAGGTTCGAGGTTGTTGTGTCAACACCTCTAACTGTTATATAGCATAAGTATATTATAGATCGTCACACATTTATAAAAGGGTGATTTTTATTTTGACAAATCAATTCCACATTTATGGGTGAAGTTTCAGGATCTTCTATTTGTGTACAATAAGGAAAAATTGGCATCTAAAATTCCCCATAACGTAATAGCACACAGCTTGGCAAAGTTGGCATATGAAATATCCTACAAATGAAACAAAGCAAGACAAACCGGTTTCTAATACAAGGATTTATATTGGCTGTTGTACATGTATTCTTTGAACGCAATCACTCTTTGGATAACGTTTTCAAAATCATTATAAACGGATTACTTTATCTCAAAGACAATTTCAATAAACTGGATTTTACAGAACTTCCCTTATTTCTTAAAAATGGACTGATCCAGTTGATTCGCCTGGAGCCGCCATATTGTTTTTATACGGGATGCTAATCGGAACCCTTTAACAAAGTCATTTAGTGGAATTTTCACTGGATTTAGTCATTCAGGTGTCATTACGGTAAATACTACTTCCGGTGTTTTTAGAACTTAAAAAACGAAGCCTTGTGAAATCCGATGGTTTGTTGAGTTAGTTTAAATGTATGCATCGTGGCCTTATATAAAATTCAAGGCAAGTACTTTCTAAATGTATCATTCTTAGAAAAAATTGCAATACTTTTGTCCAATAAACGGGAACTACTTTATTCGTTAAATTTTATTAGTGAAGCAGGGATTTCACCTAAAAATGACTCCCTATTTTGCCGTAGTGATATTTAAAAATCGAGACGTAAAACTTATAATAAAATATAGTGTGAAGATGGACTTTATAGATGGGGGAATGCGAAAATATGGTCTAATTCGCTCGAAAATGGCAAAATATAAGGTTGTATATCGCAGAACCTTTTTCAATATTTGTTCAATGAATAACCATAGTGACACCTTCAAATCAAAATTATCATTTAGTAGCTGTTTATTTTTTTATTTCCGTGATATGAAGTAAAAATTGTAAATATCTAAAGAAAATCGGCTTTGCTCTCAATCAACATCAATTGTACTGTTTCAGTTAAACCCGGTCCACCTGGTAGACCTGTCGTATCTGTGCTCAACGACACAGCTAATGTCACCTGGACACCACCCCAAGATGACGGGGGCGCAAAGGTCACCAGCTACAACATTGAGATGCGTCGTTCCGACAATTACAATAACACTTGGAAGCTCGTGAACACGGACATGTGTGTTCTCGGGACAAGTTACTTGTTGGAAGGTCTAACATCATTTGTGAATTATGAAGTGCGCATCGTAGCAACGAATGAGGTCGGGACTGGGGAACCATCGCAACCATCAGAGATCTTCAGAATCGGTATGTTTTGTATAAATTCAAATTGATATTGGTGAACTAATTGTTTTACAGTATGGTTTTGATGTGCGTAATTAAAGCGATACTTTCAAAGACTTTAGAGGCTGAAATTGGGGATTTCAAGAAATAATTTTCAAGAAAATAGCGTTACCTTTCTATTAGGATGGGTTCAGGTGCCAAAAATAGCTGATCCATGGATATATATCATTTTGAAAATTGTACAACTCGTGAAATCTTGAAAAAGAAAAATCGTACCTTCGATGCTGCGACATATTTTTACGTAAACGAATCCGTTTCTGTAACTAGTTTGAAGAATTCCTCCATAAGTGAATATAAAATGTTAAACGGTAAGAATATGTCATCAGGTCGTTGTTGTGACATCAGAGAGCCGTCTATACGGACACAACTGATTTTAATTAATTTTTCTTGTTCTCAACCGCAAGGTCAGAATTAATGTAGAATTTAGAATGTCCAGCTTTTGTTAGTCTTGTTTTTAAATGCACTCTCGATATATACACTCCCCTCCATAAGTTTGGCAACCTTTTTCCCCATTGACCTACGTGTTAAAGCCTCTTTACGTTTGAATTTTTATTTACTTAACCGGCAATGAAATAACTTATAATATTGATGGAAAAGTAACTTGATTTTATTTCCAATACCTCCAAATTTTCTCAATTTTTTTCCTCAATTACAATAGGTCAACAATTGATGATAAATTTGATGAATTTTTGAAAATCGTCATTCCCATGTAATCCAATGGGAAACGGAGGGTTCGGGGCAAATCAGAAATCAGGATATCTTTTCAGTAAAAGATTCAGCAAAAAATATTTTTATATAACAGACTGAATTGTCTAACTTTTTTAACACTAAGTGTTTAGTTTATTTGATGAATATTAAAGTTACAGCGCTTCAAACTCATATTTGAAAATAATTTTTCGCCTCTTGTGTTATTTCAATGGGAGAGGTTTTTTGAAAAACAATTATTACTTTAAAGCCCTATAACTTTTTTGAACCTGAAGAAACATACCAATTTTTTGTTAAATCAAGTTACCAAATTCAATTGCCTGCCTAACTCGTATTTTTTTGCAAGGACTCGGATGGATGGATATTCTGTCATATGATTTGCGGCAAACCTACCATTTCCCATCGGTTAACATGGGAATGTCGATTTTCAAAAATTCATCAAATTCATCATCAATTTTCGACCTATTGTAATTGAGGAAAAAAAGTGAGAAAATTTGGAGGTATTGGAATTAAAGTCAAATTACATTTCCATCAATAGTATAAGTATTTTCATCGCAGCTTAAGTAAATAAAAATTCAAAGGTAAAGAGGCTTTAACGCGTAGTTCAATGGGGAAAAAAGGTTGCCAAACTTATGGAGGGGAGTGTAGGTACGATCATGGCCAAGCAAACCGTGTTCTACGGAACGCTCTAATATTTAATTAAAGGTATTGATTCAACTTGCTTCAAATGGACCAATTTTTCAAAAGCATTTACAAGTTCTCGAAAGCTCAAACCTGACTTTAGATCTTTTAGATGGTGACATTCTGTCATGTTAGTGCCTTGCTAATGTTTTTCATGTTCTTTGTGGCAAAATTGATGTATAATTTAAAATTTCCAATTTTTGACCTACAAATTACATGTTGTTTCTCAATTGCAAGATTACGCTATGGGATTTCAAGAGAAGTGTAGGCAAATTCCCATATTCCATATGTATGTATGTATACATAGCCATTGCCTTTGGTTTTCAAAATTGGAGGTTGACACATTCCAAGAAAAATCTTATTTTGTACTTTTCATAAATGATTTAACGAAATAATCCAAAAATAAAAAAAACATGATTATCTACATACATGTTGATAATTCAATACAAAATGGATTTCATCATGATTATGGCAACAATAAAAGTCAACATTCTCCCACAAATTATGTTTTTCTTGGGATGTGTTCTTGAATAATTACCCACAATGCAATACTTGAAAAGAACATTTTGATACTTCTTTTTCTTATTGGTCTTTTTGTTTACTTCTACATGAGACTAAACATGTTTTGTGCTTTAACCATATTGAAAATTGAATATTGAAGATAATACTAAAACATATACATTTATATAATACTTTTTGAAATATAATCATAAAAAGGGAAGCATAGCACTGCTCGATTGGAGTATAACACAGAGTTGCATACCATTCTCTCTCTTGAAACATGATTACGCATAAATACAATCTTCCATATACTTATGGTCATGGCCAAAACAAACCTTACTCGAGTCTCTAGCCAATTCTTGTCTAGAAGTAATTTCATCTGGAACACCGTGAACGCCATTTGAATAAAGCTGGCCGGCGTGTCATAAATTTATCAAATATTTTAAAAATCGCCAGATAAAATCATTAATTAAAATGGGACCGGCTCGGCTCCTTGATGAGATATTGCATGATTTTGTCAAAATAAAAAAATGGCTCCAAGAAAAATGGCGATATTCGAAAACTGGATTAAATGCTAAGTTAGCGATCCAGAAGATGTGAACTAATACATTGATCACTTCAAACATGTGTTTTGGAATTTTTGGTGGGGTGATTAGACCGAAACTCGCAATTCAAATTGTGATGCGGAAAAATGGCGGACACTTGATTTCAAATTTTACGATTACGACATGACCCGTATACGATACAGTGGTCTTAGAAGAACGTAAAACAAACCGTCTTGTTCAATGCTCTAGCATGCACAGTTAACTTCGAGATAGTATATGTTAACCGCATTGTGAAACAGGCTCCATAAAAAGAATATAAATATATGAGCAAGGGTGTATAAGCAAATAATTTGCAAAATGATTATTAAGAACATGGATGATTGAGAATACAACTTTTTGATTTATTTCTAAAACTTCTTCAGGTTCTTCAGTTTATTCTCAATCATTTTTGATATTTTAACACTTATTAACAATATACAGGGTGGGCCAAAAAAACCAATACCCAACTTTAAATCAGACTGAAAATAGCTATGTTCAATATGATACACTGATTTATATATCATTTTAAAGGTTATCCAATTTCGAACAATTTGGTATATAACACTATGTCATGAAATCAATATTAAAGTTTTATTATGCTTATTTGGGAGGCCGGGTTAGTATTTAAGGTATCCAGATTTTAGGGAGAAAATAGTAAAGCTGCGGAATAATGTTAATTTTTTATTTATAGAATATCATTTTGTTAGGTGAATAAATGCTAGTTTATTTGCATATTGTGTGACTAAACTTATTGTTTATGAATTTTAGTATTGTTTATTATCAATAAGTACCCAAAGGGGGTCTGGTAAAAGACATTAAACGTATATGTGACGAGGATTTTATTTTCCAACAAAACATTGCCCCGTACCATAGATCTCAAGAGACATTGGCATTCCTTTGCAAACAAGGTGTCAATTTGATTGATCTCGTTGCTTGGCCACCCAACAGCCCCGATGCTACATGTAATTTGTTTGATTACGATACATGGAGCCATCTCGAGGAAATGATACAATCAAAAGCATCCAATAAACAGCTTTGATGTGCTGAAACAGAATCCTAAAGTGCTGAAATGAATTGCAACAGAAATCTCTCAATAATGTTATTGATAGATATCGCTACCTCTTGAAGCTTATTGTTGATGCATAGGGGAGGGGGTGGGGGTATATTGAGCAATTGTGAAAATTGTTTAAATAAATAAAGTGTAAAATGTTATTAAACAACACTGAAATTCATAAACAATAAATTTAGTCAAACAATGATGAAAATATCAGTATCCAAGCATGTATTCACATAACAAAAGAATGATATTCTATAAATAAAAAATTAACATAATTCCGCAGATTTACTATTTTCTCCCTTAAATCTGGAGACCTTAAATAGCGACCCGGCCTCCCAAATAAGTATAATAAAACTTTACTATTGATTTCATGACATAGTGTTATATACCAAATTGTTTGAAATTGTATAACCTTTAAAATGGTATGTAAGTCAATGTAGCATATTGAATGTAATAATTTTTATCCTGATTTGAAGTTGGGTATTGGTTTTTTTGGCCCATCCTGTACAAGAGACTCGCCTTTATCACGCAATGAGCCACTTGTGATTCCAGCCTTGGTCCACTTATAAATGCCCTTAATACCGTGTGTCTAAGTAATGATGTGATATACGTAAGAATGTTAAACCAATAAAAAAACGTCGACCTTGTCCGTTTCTAAATGATTTGCCGAATTACAACTTTGACATTTCAATCAGTCCATTCCAAGATTTTTTGCATTCTCTAGCATTCTTATTTCATACGATGTTAAAATAAATCTGAAATCATTGTATCATATAATTACAACCTGATTCCATCATTCACTTATCATATGTTTCTTATTTATGTAATTGCAGTAACAGTAGTAAAAAGTAACCCAATTGTTGCAAAGAGACAGCTGCAGTCAAGCTATATATGGGATCTCGCAGTAACATCAAGTGCACATATTGTGGTTATAAGTGGGAGCAACACAAAGATATATGCCAGTGATTATAGTCTCATCAAAGATATCGGCGAAAGATTCTATCGTGTTACAGTTGCAAGTGATGGTCAACTAGTATTCACTGATGGGTCTAGCACAATCTACTTCTATACAGCAGACGGCAATTATATACGCGACATAACAGTTACAGGGTCTTCATATCGACTATATGGTATTACTACACTATCTACTGGTCAGTTGGTTGTCTGCGATCGCAACACATCTAGCGTGTATATTGTTGAACAAGATACAGGGAATGCAACACCACTCTCTGCTCCTGGTACGTTTAGCAATCCTTACTATGTGACAACGAACAGCAAAGTAGTAGTTATAGTGAGTGACCGTGACGGACTTTCTATAAAGGGATTGGACCAGGATGGCCAAGTACTCTTCACTTATGGTACATATGGATCAGGGGAGGGGCAGTTGAAATATCCCCGTGGTGTCGACACAGATAAGGAGGACTACATTGTGGTAGCAGACCACGGTAACCACAGAGTACTACTACTCACCCCTGATGGCATGTTCCATAGTTACCTTCTTACAGCGAGTGATGGCTTGTTCTACCCACTTGCTGTTTGTATAAACCAAGACGGACATTTACTGGTTGGGGATGACAATGGACAATTATTCACTATCACATACAGAGAATAAGGTAAATTTAACACAATGACAACGAACAGATTAATATTGCACGGTACATGATACTGCAATATTACACATAATTATTATTGTACACAAAGTCATGATGCTATTTCAATTCGATTCGAATTAGCAGGATCGGATTGATTGATATATATGCTGTATATACATGACATTGCTCTGCCCATGGTATAAGAATAAAATAGTTTTTTGGGGGAGGGGTATACATAGTAAAAAACGCATAAGGTGAATCGCAAACCAGTAACTATGATTCATACTTTTTCTTTTTTTAACCGTTTGCATTATATTTATTTGATGATTCTTGGAGCGAAATTGATGTATTTTAAAATGCAAAAATATTAAATTGCATTTTGGCTTTGTGTTTCAGTCCAAACCCGATGACAGAAATGAGAGTTAGAAGATGGCCAACGATTTCAACAACACGAAGCTATCAAAGGCACACATTTACATTATCGTATCCTAGTGCCAACACACTCTGACGATTGAACAATGAATATGTGGAACAGTCATTGATTGTTGTATGAACAACGTAGTAACTACACAACTTCACAATAACAATGACTTTACAATAACAATGACTATACATTATTGTATAAAACATAAATTTAATTGAATGCAATGTACTGTACAAAACTATGAGTTTATTGTATAAATCATTAACGTTATTGTACTAAACAGCAATTTATTGTTCAGAACTATATGTATATTTTATAAAGCATAATTAAAAACAATACATTGTACAGAACTATGAATTTATTATATGAATCATTTCAAACACAATCATTCCAAAATGAGATTTATTGTCCAACACTTCGAGTTTATTGTACTGAACAACAATGCAATGTGCAGAAGTATAAGTGTATTGTATGAGACATAATCATTCTGAAATGCAATTTATTGTACAAACTATGAGTTTATTGTACTGAACAACAATGCATTGTGTAGAACTATAAGTGTATTGTATGAGACATAATCATTCTGAAATGAAATTTATTGTACAAAACAATGTGTTTATTGTATTAATCATTAACATTATTGTACTACAACAATGTAGAGCTATATGAGTATTGTAAGAAAAATAATCATTCTGAAATGCAAATTATTGTACAAAACTATGAGTTTATTGTACTGAACAACAGTGTAATGTGCAGAACTATAAGTACATTGTACGAAACATAATCATTCTAGAATGCAGTCTATTGTACTAAACAATGCATTTATTGAACTGAACAACAATGTATATAGAACTATAAGTGTATTGTATGAAAAATAATCATTCTAAATGCAATATATTGTACAAAACTATGCATTTATTGTACTTAGTACTAAACAACAATGTAATGTGCAGAACTATAAGTGCATTGTATGAATCATAATCATTCTGAAATGCAATGCATAGTACAAAACTATGAATGTATTGTTTTAATCATTAATATTATTGTACTACAACAATGTAATGTGCAGAACTATAAGTGCATTGTATGAAAAATAATCATTCTAAATGCAATATATTGTACAAAACTATGCGTTGATTGTACTGAACAACAATGTATTTTGCCAAACTATAAGTGTGTTGTATGAGACATAATCATTCTGAAATGCAATTTATTGTACAAAACTATGTGTTTATTGTACTGAACAACAATGTAATGTGCAGAACTTTAAGTGCATTGTACGAAACATAATCATTCTGAAATGCAATTTATTGTACAAAACGATGGGTTTATTGTACTGAACAACAATGTAATGTGCACAACTATAAGTGCATTGTACGAAACATAATCGTTCTAAAATGCAATTCATTGTATTTATTGTACTGAACAACAATGTAACGTGCAAAACTATAAGTGTATTGTATAAAACATAATCATTCTGAAATGCAATTTATTGTACAAAACTATGCGTTTATTGAACTGATAAACAATGTAGTGTGTAGAACTATAAGTGTATTGTATGAGACATAACCATTCTGAAATGCAATTTATTGTACAAAACTATGTGTTTATTGTACTGAACAACAATGTAATGTGCAAAAACTTTAAGTGCATTGTACGAAACATAATCATTCTGAAATGCAATTTATTGTACAAAACTATGAGTTTATTGTACTGAACAACAATGTAATGTGCACAACTATAAGTGCATCGTACGAAACATAATCGTTCTAAAATGCAATTCATTGTATTTATTGTACTGAACAACAATTTAACGTGCAGAACTTTAAGTGCATTGTACGAAACATAATCATTCTGAAATGCAATTTATTGTACAAAACTATGAGTTTATTGTACTGAACAACAATGTAATGTGCACAACTATAAGTGCATTGTACGAAACATAATCATTCTGAAATGCAATTCATTGTACAAAACTATGAGTTTATTGTACTGAACAGCAATGCATTGTGTAGAACTATAAGTGTGTTGTATGCAACATAATCATTCTGAAATGCAGTGTACAGAACTATGAATTTATTGTATTAATCATTACTTTTATTGTACTGAACAACAGTATATTGTGCAGAATTATAAGTCCATTGTATTGAATATCACAATCATATATTGCATACATGCCATCATTGGGAATAACTTTTTACTTGCAACAAATTGTCCTTTTGAAATTACATGAATTTAGGACCTGTATAATAGCATGCGTTCACAACAAGTTCGTCCAACTATTTTAGCATACTGTAAAACTTCCTCTTGGTCGCATACATTTTCTCCTAGAGCTTTGTATATCATATATGGCTTTGCCTGCCTCGTATAGAGCACCATAACATTGTCAAGTTCTATAGTCCCATTTGTATCTCCTGAAAGCACAAATATATGTTGTAATGAATTTGATGTTTGGCCGATAACAAAAGTTTTCTTTTAATTTTACCATTTTGGGTAGTAACAATTAAGAACATTTTTGTTATGGATCAAGTAACCTACCCGATGAACTTCGTCATTGTATTTAATATTATTCTGGTGATAAACATGTATTTTGTAAAAAAATGTATATTGATGCACATTCTGGGTTATGCCACACATATAACAGGCCCATAGTCAGGCAAGTGGAGGGAGTGTGGTTGTGTTCTATAAAATTATTTTATTATGTTGCTAGGTATCTATGAAAATAAATTAATGAGTGTGTTCATTCAATACCCTATTCCCAAGGGCATATACCTACCAAGTTTTATTGCAATTGAATGAATATAAGATGCTGCCTCAGAAAAGTCTCACTAATTAATGATACCCCCTCGTACATCAATATTATGATAACTAATGCACATACACAACGGTTTTAACCTATATAAATATATTATTCAATATTTAAATGTATGAATTTTCAATACTGAATCATGGGGTTTGGTTAGTACTTGTCTGGTAATAGCACAGTAACATGATTCGCTACTACATATACCATAGCCCCGCGCCTAAGCCATGTTACCACTGACCAAGCTCATGGTATCATTGGGTTTGGTTAGTACCTGTTTGGTAATAGAGATTTTACATTTTGGCATGCCATCTCCTGATACCTTGGTGAACTAAGTCATGTGATCATTTATATCCAATCAGAATGCATTTCTGCCACATAGTGATAGCATAGTGATCCAAAGCTAAACCAAGGTGTAGGAAGGGTTTATATTATCATATAGAAGGGGTGCACTTTTCTAATTGGCCATGGTTGACATGCATGTTTGCAAACTTAGTACTTGCATTAAGAGCTCTGACTGGCACCCTAACAAAATAAATTCATACTACACTGATGCCTGGGTCACATTTGCTCCGTTTGTTCAATATTGTATTCAATTTTGAACAATACTCAATCGGCATGGCGCCGTAGTGAAAATCGGAGCAATCTGCATTACTTGTACACAGTGTATACCAATAGCCCATTTTCAGCATAGCAATTTCTAAGAAGGGTTTCCAAAATTCTCCATCATGGATTACCTTGACCCTCTCTTCTTACATGATAGACACAGACATGTTTCTAGATGCGATGTGTACCAGAATGAAAGCTCTGGCTTCTTCCTAACTTGGCGGGAGGGTGCAAAGTACTTTCTTGAGCATTAAAAATAAATGCCATTGTCACAGGAACTTTGCATTTTTGGTAAATCCATTGAATATTTATCTGCATGCTCGAAGTTAAGTAAGTTAAGAAGATCAGATTCTTTATAACACTTGATCCAAATCTATTTGATATTCAAAATCTAAGTAAACCTCTCTTTTTGAAGAACCAACTATCTATCATATTACTCAGATTGAATTAATCAATATTCTCATACTCTCTCTAGTTTGTATGAATGGATGACCCTAAACATCATGTGGAATACTTCTCAGAAAATGTGCCCAATATATTACTCTAAATCATACATGTCATAGGAGCTTTGAAGTTTTGAAAAGTTGTCTGAAACAAAAATTGTGATCATAAAAAGAGAATGGATTGCTTTCTAAAGCAGTTTTCTCATTTTTTCTATTTTTAGGAATGAATTCAAATTTTCAAAATCTTCTATAATTTCAAATAATATATTTGGCACAGTTTCTCAAAAATGCAATAGATTCTGTCTGGTGACCTTTCTAAAAGTCCAACTTTTAACTGTTTTTGAGTCACATTTTCTGAGTCACACTCCTCTGTGTATACTTTCTCCAGTATGTATGAATCGAAACTAGGTTAATTTCCCATGTGCCTAAACCAATATTTTATTGTTTTATTTACTTTCTGTGTATGTGTGTATGGACTACTATTTATATTTTCCAGTGTTTCTATGAAACAATAAATTTTAACTGTGTGTATTGATAAATATCATGTACTTTCTCCAGCGTGTATGAGCAAATATTATGTACTTGCACTAGTTATTTAACCAATACTCTGTACGTTCATACACACTGGAGAAAGTACATAGTATTTGATCATACAAAATGTGTGTTCATAAACAATGGAGTACATGATATTTGTTCATACATACTGGAGAAAGTATATCCACAGGCGTGTTAGTTCATATGCATGTCCATACTGGAGAAAGAGCGTAATGTCTCTTCATACACATTATAGATATTGTAGTACATTAAATTCGTTCATACTCACTGGTTTAGGTACATTTTATTCGTTCTGACACATTGATTGAAAACACGGAAGAGAATGAACAACGTTTTGGTTCATGCACAATGGAGAAAGTACAAATCATTTGCTTATGCATGTTGGAGAATGGACACAAAATATTTGTTCATACATGCAGGAGAAAGTACAAAAAATGTGTTCATTGAAAGTGGAGAACCCAGATTATATACTTTCTCCAGTTTGTATGAACAAATTCATCAATGTGTTTCATGCAACACATTTTAATGTGTAATTTAAGGTGCTATGTAAGTTAACAGAAATGACAAAACAAAAAATGTCAAAACCATGCTGGAT